GGGCGCGCTCAGCTCAAGTACACGTCCGCGGCGCGCCGATGAGCCCGGCCTCGCAGGCGGACTGCCTGCAGGCTGGCCGGCCGGCTTCGGCCAGCTGCTCCTCGACACTGGCCTCCTTCTTTTCGCCGGCCTCGACGCGCGCCCGGACCCTGAGGCCGCGACAGCCGTGCAGACGCCCACGTCCACGCCCACGCCCGCGCACCTGCCCGCAGGCGCCGCCGACGCCGGCTCCGCCAATTGCGGCGCTCTGTTCGCCTGCAGGCTCGTCGACGCACTGACGCCGGCAGGCCGCACCGACAACGAGCCGGACGCGCTGCCGCAGGAAGTGCAGTCGGGCCGCCGTGCGGCGTGGCGATTGGCGGAGGACGAGGCGGCGCTGTCGGCTGAGGCGCGGCCTGCGATTCAGGCCGCCTGGCAAGAGGACGCCGACTCTGTGAAGGTAGGCGAGTTGGAGGCCGTCTTTCACCTGTTCGCGAATCGGCGCCGCAGCCATGGCATGGCGATGCCTTACGTGCTTGCTGAGGCTGCTGGACGGGTCGTTGGGCGCCTTCTCCTGGTCGTGACGATCTGGAGAAAGTGGGCCCAAGTTCCGCATATCTGGCCACTGTCGTTGTGCTCCCGTCAGGACTGGGATTTAAATGTTCCTCTCAAGACCGCGGCGAAATGGGACGCAATTTCAGCCCAAACGGCCCGGCACAAGACAGCCTCGCAGACCTATTCACTAGCGCCCTTTTTACGCCCACTCTCATACAAACGGGGGGGAGAACAGCGCCAAATGCGCCTCAAACGCAGACCCGTTAGCGAGCCCATAAGTGGATGCTAAACAAGTGCAGAACCGGTTATCTGTAGACGTAGTCGTCAAGACGACCAGAAAGGCATGGTTTGCAGTCCACGACACAATCAGTTGGCTAGTCCTCAGACTACAGTTGAATGCTGCGTAGCTCCAGCTGCCGACAAGTGATTTCATTCAACCTGAACTGCCGGTTCAAACTCGTCTTATGAGGATTATGCAGTTGATTGTGAGAAGCTTCACGAGCACTAACATCCCTGGCCTAAGCTCTTAGTTCGCATCGATTATTAAGCGTAAAATGTAGATAATTATAGATGTGACGATCATGATATTGTGCAGGTGTCTGAACTCGTTTTCGTAATAGCCTCGTGTTGTCAAGGCGATGTTGTTTGAGACAGGTTTTTGCGACTCCTCTGCTATCGTAGGTATGAGGCTATCCAGCGCTGGAGCGTAGACTTGGTACATTCTCAGACAGTTGGTCTGTCCAACGCTGGCGTTTCTCATGCCTACGATAGCCGATGACTTGGGAGAAGCTGCGTCCAACACGGTCGCCCTGACAATACTTTGCCAAAAAGAAGTCAAATGGCTTTTTGTAAAATATAGAGATTAAAAAAAGACAATTAAGTCGGCCCAAAAGCGATGCATCTAAATGTTGATCGTAAATAAACTTCTCATGAAATCTCCGACCCATGTCAGCTCTTACGTTGTCTGTTAATCAAAGTACGGCATTCCACAAGAGTTAGCTCTATAGAATCCCTGTTTCGGACTCGAAGCAACGGCCCTAACAACGTATAGTGATACTGAACCAACTGAGTCAGACTTTGTTGCTTGCAGTGATATAAGAATTGGGAAATGAGATTTCCTACACTGTCAGAGGAACACATTGTGGAATGCCTTTCAATTTCACCCCAGGCTAAGTCATACGGTCTCGACTGGGCTGGACTGCATTCTCTACCTCTACTCAATTGGCTTCGAACGGGACTCAAACTCGGCCAGTGCTGACTGCAACACATTTTTACCGAAAATACGATTCAGGCCTCTCAGAAATAACACTGATATTATGAAAATGTCGATCCGTCGAGTGTCTTTATCAATGCAATCGAGGATACTACTTATTTTCGTGGTTATTAGTTGGCCAAATGGCAAAGATGATTTGACTAACACTGAGTGTATGCGAATGAAGGTCGGTTTACACGTGTCGAGTTGAGCTCAGTTTCGCGGTAGTGTGTACGTGTGTCGAAGAAGTCGATGGCGAACTCGTCTCGACCAGACGTCATTCTGTTGCCATCCCTTTGAGCAGTGAGTGCTGGATTCGTACATATGCAAACACACAAGCAGAAACTGCGTCAACAGCCACAAATATGACAGTCAAGGTGAGTCAGTTGTTTGGAGATTACATTTATGTCATATGGTTGCTGACTGAGTCTATGTATATTTGTCATTGCAATCGAGGATACTACTTATATGTGATACAAGTAGTTGACTAGACGATAAATATGGCT